ATGTGTACAGTGTATTTTTTTTTACTATAATGTTGTTTTTTTATAACTTTCTTGTCCTTTCATTATTGTTAGTTGTTCTTATACATATTGGTTTTTTTGTTTGTCTAATTATTACCAATGACTTGTAAATATGTAATTTTTATATGATTGAAAATTTAATAAACACACAAATATAAAAAAAAAGTTTAGAAAATAAGGGCACTTATATACGTAAGGAAGAGAACCCATTCAGACGGGAAAATGAGATGGCAGCCTTTCTGCTTATTCACATTTATACAAATCATTTTGTTGCAGTTTGATGTTAGTTCTTCATGATAAGCCAATTGCTCTTCTTCCGGTGGCTTCGTGAGTCCCTTAAATTATTTAGTGAAAACAAAGTACTCGAATGAAACGGAGTGTTTTGCACACTAACATATATATATTAAAGCTACATACACTTAACTAAAGGAAAGAAACCTTTAGAAAATGGACTGGATATTATTGAAAATATTATTCTAAACAAGAATGTACTACATGATTGTATTACTTTACGTTTCAATTTCACGAGAGAAATAGAACTCGAGAGGGGGAGCAGAGAAGAAGTGATGGAAATGAAAGAAGACTAATAGCATGAGAGGAAAGAAAAGAGCAAAGAAGACAAGAAAACGGTCATAAACAGGAAAAGGAGGAGCATGGGAGAGAGAGAAAGAGAGAAAGAGAGAGAGATAGCCTTGAGCTTTGGATCAGCTAATGAGTAATACATGAAACAGATTTTGAGCGGAGTAATTATCTTTCGCCGGAGCTTGCGTAAGGAGCTATAATTTTATTTTTTATTTTTTTAAATCAAACATTATGGGGAATAGCAAAAAACGGTTGTCTTTTTTGCTCTTTTCTTTCCTCTCATGTTATTAGTCTTCTTTTTTCATTGAGGTTATTTCAGGTCTTACATATTGATGAGCTGTTTGAAATTAACTAGGAGGTATGCGCGTATTGGGGAATGTGGCTTGCTGCTCTACTTTAAAAAAAAAAACTTCCCATGACATGTAATGAGTGTTTAGTGTACATTATGTGGGACGTACAGTGATAGATGGAAAGTTATTTAAGTATATTCGAAATGACTTTTAGGCAACTGCTTTTTCCTCCCACATTATCAACATTCATTCATTTCATTTCATTTACATAATGTCATGAAATGCATTCAAAAAATGAAGAAAAAAAGAAAGAAACAAAAACAACCCGTGAAAAAAAATTATTGTCGGCGAAGCATTTGTCGTAGTACTAGTAGCATTTGTATTTAATGGGACACTTTTTGGGCGGAGCAAATGTCGTCGGAGCAAATGTCACCGGAGCAAGTGTCGCTTCAGGCGGAGCAAATGTCGGCGGAGCAAATGTCGGCGGAGCAAATGTCGGCGGAGCAATTGTCGCGTTTTGCGGAGCAATTGACGGCGGAGCAATTGTCGGCGGAGCAATTGTCGGAGGAGCAATTGTCGGCGGAGCATCTGTCGGCGGAGCAATTGTCGGCGGAGCAACTGTCGGCGGAGCAACTGTCGGCGGAGCACCTGTCGGCGGAGCATTTGACGTCGGAGCAAATGTCGCGGAGCAAATGTCGCGGAGCAATTGTCGCGTTTTGCGGAGTAAATGTCGGCGGAGCAATCGTCGGCGGAGCATGTGTCATGGAACCCCAGGTGTTGCCTTAGTCAGGTACTCAACAGCTTGGACAGTCATGATGTCTAATAATAATTATATCTACTTTATATAGCGCTTAACTTTATCAGAAGTCTCTAAGCCATAGGGATTGTACCCATGTTAGACATAATTAACATAATCATTTATATTTCAATTTTAAAAAAGGAGGCAAAGACATCGACAAATTTAGTTCCTCTTTCTTAAATCAAATTACATTTATACGGGTGCATATATTAAATCTGGTACATGAAAGAAGAAAAAGAATGCGAAAATGAATCCGAACAGTTATTTAGGAACAATGGCAGCTTCTCCTAATGGTTTGTGTTCATAATCATGTGTAATTAGGGACTTTTAGATTAGGGACTTTTAGATTTGCGTGGACTGATACGTGTGACGTCCATTCAAGGCAGTGCATTAAAAGGGCGTCGACCGTAGCAATCCCCATTGTCTTCGTGCGAATCTAAAAGTCCCTATTGAGTGGACGAGAACGGCGTGAACGTCCACTGATCAAGCGTGTTTACGGCAAGCCGTTTTTAACATTTATGCCTATTTCTTGATATCAAGAATTACCATTACTTTACAACAGAAAATCATTTCTTGATATCAAGAATTGAATTCTGAACGGCGTGAACGTCCACTGATCAAAAAAATATGCGCCCCTCCCGGCCCGTAACACTATCTTCATTTTAAGATTAATGCAATGCTAGAAACTACAAACTTTGTGAAAAGAGGCAAATCTTTTCACGCCAAAATTACAAGTAAAATGGTGGTTAACTAACCACATTCATAACAGCGCTTGCGAAAGGAAAGGAAAAAATGTTTAAAATTGGTATTTGTTCACATATAATAGTTAAACTTTTATACGACTAAAAATGATATCTGTTTACTTAGATAAGACGGGAAGTGGCAACACGATAAAGTCTTTTCATAACATCGTTATGCTCGAATGTGCTAATTGCAATTATCTTTTCTAGTGTCATACAAAATTTAGAACTTGGCCAAAAAATCGAGTAAAACTAACAAAAAACAATAAAAAATTATGTCGATCTATTACGAGATGTTTCAACACCTTCTTTCCGATTTTCCCCCGCCCCACCCCTCTCCCTCTTTCTCCCTCTCTCTCTCTCTCTCTCTATATCCCCCCTCTCTCTCTCTCTCTCTATATATATATATATCCCTCCTCTCTCTCTCTCTCTCTCTCTCTCTCTCTCTCTCTCTCTCTCTCTCTCTCTCCTCTCTCTCTCTCTCTCTCTCTCTTTCTCTCTCTCTTTCTCTCTCTCTCTTTCTCTCTCTCTCCCTCTCTCCCTCTCTCTTTCTCGCTCTTCCTCCCTCTCTCTCTCTCTCTCTCCTGTTTCTTATCTCTCTTTCTCTCCATTGAGTCTTTCCTTCTCTCCATCTCTCTCTCTCTCTCTCTCTCTCTCATACTCTCTTACTCTCATGCACTGAAATTAGACTCAGAATTAACGATCATTCAGCTTTCGTTTTATGGTTAACATAATATGCATAATATAATGCATCCTTTATGCACAGCAGTAGAATATAATGCATTCTCATGAACACCATACACGTTGTGAAAATGACAGTACACAGATAAGACATTCATGATGATTATTATAAAGAGGGTATGATCATTATCTACCCGATGTATCATCATAAAAGTTAACACTACCCTTCAGGTCTGTTTTAATCAGCTGGAGTTTGCCAAATAGTCCGCTATTTCTGATTCGGGAAATAAGAAATCGCGTTTTCATCAGCTCGAGAATTTTATTCAGTGTTAGCGCATACCGCGAGTCTTCGGGCTTGTGAAAACGCACCGGACAAAATAATAGCTGGCTAATTTTGCAACCTAGCCAAAGAGTTCTAGGAAAGATTTTCCGAGAAAACAGCCCGCTATTTGTGTCTTCACCTGCCCAAAAGTCCGCTATTTCGCGATCGGGCTAATTTCCCGATTCAGAAATAGCGGGCCATTTGGCAAACTCGAGCTGATCAGAACAGGCCTATTATGAGAGGCTTATATCGTCGCACGGCTGGCAGAAGGGCGTTAGCGCGCGATCGACTCGAAAACTACTTTTCGAGTTATTCGCATTTAAAGATTTGTTTTATATTTAAACTGCTTTCCGTCCCGAAATTTGGTTTAAAACTTAAAAGACTAATAGAAATGTTAAAGCAGAACACGACAAGACATTTTTTCCCGGAAATAAGTCAGTTTTATAAAAGTTTGAGGCGATTTAGTGCTAACGCCCTTCTGCTTAACGCATTATTGCGCATCTTCTTTCATGCTAAAGGGCGCAAGCCGCGTAACGCCCTTCTGCTTTGAGTAAAATAGATACGCTTCGGCGCGTAAAGCTTGTAAAAGGGCGTAACGCGCATGGTGTAGCCCGGATGGAGCGTGTTGTCATTCAGACTTTCTGAAATAAAAAGCAGACGCATGCAATTGTTTGTGATGATAAAATATCAAATTTGATTTTTCGTTTGCTTTTGTTTTAGCATTAATTAATAGTATTAGGTTATGCTTTACGGATTTCGCTTCCAATATTTACAAAAAACTCATTAAATTTATCAGCAATTTATTTTAAATCATAATGTATCACGGCAATTTATTGATTATTATGCAAGGGTAATTCTTAATGCATTAACCAAGTACATCGCTTGTAGTATCCAAGGTATTTTTCATGTTTCCTTAAACCTATTTGGAATTTCAAATAGTAATAATTACTTTATGCTGATTTCCGGAATTTATTCCCATGATTTCGAACTCTATTATATTTCCTCTTATTCGTATCTCTATACAAAGAGGTCAATACATTCAAAGAGTAATAGAGTAAAAAATAAAATTACACTGATCACATCACTCTGCCCCATCCTGATATTTATCTTTAATCCTTCACAGAATGCAGGAAATGCATTAATTTGTTACAGAATGCCCTTTATGTCTACAACTGTATACTGTACGTTGTGCTTCATATGTGATTTAAGTTTGATTGGATATTGTTGTCAATAATCAAAAGTATATTTGTATACTTTTTTTTTTGGGGGGGGGGGGCACACCAAGCACTATGTACAATTTCTTCTCAATTCTTTCTCTTTCTGTCTCTCTCTCTCTCATGCAAACAAGAACACCCCCTCACTCTCTCTCTCTCTGTCTATCTCTCTTTTTCTTTCTCCATTAAACACATCTCATAATCGTTTGTTACCCCTCTTTTGCAGTTGCGTGTCTATCTTCTTGTCGCATTAGTCATTTCCATTCTAGTACATTACTCTCTCGGACACATTTTTCCCATGAACAAATGTAACTATATAAGAATAAACGCTAAATAGCACAAAGCAATCAAATGTTAAGATGAACACTTCTGTCATGGTAATGACTGAATTTATTTCTTTGCAATATAACTGGAATCCTTTTTGTACAGTTCATTTTACAATTCCATGTACAATCATTCAAAATTAATCAATCATAATGAATCATGATTAAATATAAAAATTGGAACTTATCTGTAGCACATGCTCATGGCAGAAAGAACAACATGGTAGCTCTCAAAAGAAAGTTTTGTATTCTGCGTTGAATCTGTTCTAGCTCTAGTGAGCTTTTGTAGCATAGTTTTAAAAACTGTGCAGTAAGTTTACAAAAGAGAAAATACTTGAACAATATATCAGCATTATCAAAGGCAAATAAACAAAATTGTATGACAATAAGTGAAACTGTAGCACATGTTCATGGCAGAAATTACAACATGGTAGCTCTTAAAATAACTTTGTGTATTCTGCAGTTAACGTACTGTGCAGTAGGTTAACATACGAGAAAATACTTGAACAATATTTCAGCATTATCAAAGGCGATATAAAAAAAAAAGTATGACAATAAGTGAAACTGTAGCACACGTTTATGGCAGAAAGTACAACATGGTAGCTCTTAAAAGAACTTTGTGTATTCTGCAGTTAACGTACTGTGCAGTAAGTTAACAAAAGAGAAAATACTTCAAAAATATTTCAGCATTATCAAAGGCGATACAAAAAAGTATGACAATAAGTGAAACTTTAGCAGCTGTTGGGATCTGCAATACGTTTCCTGGCTCTCTTATTCTGTATTAGAATAAAAAATATAAAAGTGGTGGACAAAATATTAGTTTAACATATTCATGCTTTGAACTGTACAGAGTGCAAAATTCTATAAAAGTAAAAGTACTGGTGAAGGATGAAGGAGTCAACACTGCAGCAAGTCAATGTAAATGACTGTAACCTTGCAATCTGACTGACATGCTTCTCTCCTTTTGCTTCTCCTCTCTTGCCTTGATTTAATGAACCAATACATTCACTCTCTCCCCTTACCCCACCTTTAAACCCAGCCATCATCAAGAAATAAGGGAGTGAAAGAGAGAGAGAGAGAAAGAGAGATGGGAGGAGAAAGAAGAGAATTGCAGTACGTCTGCATGGTCATTTATCCCAGAACCCCTCCATCAGAGGGAAGCAGAGCAATTATTCCATTTACTCTGTCTAAAGAGATGTACACCAGCCATTTTCTGGTACAACTAAAATACATTTATCTTTTTCAAAGAAAATTCTCCACTCCCTTGGCAGAATTTGTAACAGGCAACCATTTTAAAGCTTCAGACTTTTACCTCACTTTGTTCAGGACGTTCTCCAATATCTCTGTGTAGAAGCCACTCTCTGTAAAGTACACAAGAATAAACTTTATGACATAGAAATGTAAAACCCATTTTTGAAGTAAATATTGTAGGAGAAATAAATGGTTCAAAAGTTAGCTTAAGAGGTTGTTGTTTTGATTAATGAATATTGTAGAGGTGTCTGCAACAGCATAATTGCAACAAACTGACTTATAATTCCTAAAGACAATGCCCACTGTAAACTACAAACTCAAATTGGTGACATTTGAGACATTAATATTTTTCAGTACTACCTTCACTGTCTGCTTGGATAACTTGAAACTATGTCAACTGTCTCCTGCACTTCGATTGCTAAGGGAACAACCGTCATCAATTCCAGAACTGTGTCGATCGCTGGATGATCTTCTGAAAACCTCTCCGGAATTTGAAGTAGATGCTATGGTAGTAAAAATATGTAAAGCCAGGAATAATATTATAAAGAGAGCACTGTAATATTTTGTAATATAGTTAGCATGATACCTTCATCTTTCAGCTTTGCCGCAGTCAAAACTTAAATATACCGGTACCCATAACCAGGGGAGTGCCACTTACATTCTTTTTTGAGAACTTTTTGAACATATCCTGAAATTGTCATGGCAGCAATGACTTTAAAGTTAACGGTTTTATTGTTTTTGTGATTTTAAACAATTATCAGGGTGGGGGGGCAGATACTTTTAACTATTGCAACATCTTCAAAAAATGCAAGCAAACTAGCAGAAACAGCTTAAGGAATAATGTAACAATTATCATGGATTTATAACTTCTTTTTGACCATATCAATACTGTATAAGGGCTTTACGATAATTTATAAGGCATTTTTAGTGAAATCAACATAACGCTAGTTTAACTTACAGCATAGTTATTGTGGTTTGCACATGGGTTGTCCTCTTTGAAGTGGTGTTCACACAGGGAAACAAGACACTGGGAGCATGTACTAAACACTTCATGTAAACATATGAAATGTTGACACATTTGAACTTCAATGAGGCATGTCTATGAATAAAAAGAGAACGTTACAAAAATATAGAAAACAAAGAAAAACTTGAATATCACTTCATCAACTATCTCAGTCTGGTTTATTAATAGGACTAAATAACTAATATCATCGGTGGGGTGACAAAACCTTGTATCTCAAAAATCATGAATTTTCAGGAGAGCGAAAAAACTTTCCTGTCTCAACAAATTTAGTGCTGTGACACCGTCTTTTCTTTTTAAAACTGGAATATTTATACAATTTGTAATGTCATTGTTGAAATACAGTAAAATAATAGTTTTTGTATTCAAAAGTGAGTTACAAGGTTTTTGCGTTTATCTACATTGAGATACAAGTTTTTAGTTTTTATTCAAATTGAGATACGAGTTCTTACTTTCAACTCTGAATGAGTTACGAGTATTTGGTTGAATAAGTTACGAGGATTTGAATACACTAACTTCGGTACTGTTAGGCCGTGTGTGAGTTACGAGAAAAAGGGATTACGTATCTTATGTTACGAGGTTTTGTCAGTGCAGCTTCAAAGGGGGTTAAAGTTACGAGGTTTAGTTTAAGGGTGTTTGTGGAATTTGTAAAAAAACAGAGAAGGCGTTCCATGGATTTATCAGGTGGTGTCGTAGGCCATTAGGTACACAAATTGAGATACAAGGTTTTGTCACCCCACTGACGATATATTTAACTTTACTAAATTGAAAATTTGATGAAAACTTTTTTTAAAAATGACACTTACTGCATATGAATAAAAGCTAACAATGATCATCAAATAATTTTGGAAAGTATGTAAGCCAACAATGTTTCTTCGTGACATTACTTTTCATTGCTTTACATCTCCATCATAAAGCCTACCGACACTCGGTTGATCTCGTATAGGTCCATGATGTACAATGAAAATTGTTCAGAAATATTCATTTAGAAATCATGATACTGTATAGCATTTCAGTTCAATGATTGCTGTCATATTGTTATCAAACCAAACAGAATAGTATGTAGGCCAACACTGTTTCATCAATAGTATCATACATTACCTGTCATTGTGACCCGACATCTCCAACGTCAAGCCTTGGTTGATCTGGTAGAGGTCCATGGTCTACAATGAAAATAATTCAGAAATATTCATTTAGAAATCATGATACTGTCAGGGGCGTCGCTAGACCTTCTTCAGTGGGGGGGGGGGGGGGGGGTGTAGAGGCCAACGATTACCGACAAAACTAGCCACCAATTACCGACAAAATTAAATGTCCCAATATCTACAAATTTAACCCTATAAACCTGGGGTAAAAATCTAAATTGTTTATCATATGAACTATCTATAGTACTTGTGTATGCGCAAATGGTCATTTTCCTCGACGACATAAATATACGAATTATTTCGTCAACTAATTCGGTGGTCACATCCCGCCGTACTTGCAAGTGCGTGCTGTCTACGTGCAAAAACGTGTGCAAAATTTGGGTATCGGTACGTGGTGAGTACCGCCTCCGTACGGATTTGGGAGCACGCAGACACACCGTAGCACTTTTTAGGGAGGGGCGGTAGTGGGCAAGCGTATCATTTTTAATTGGGGGTGGGTGATACGCCTTAGAAAGCTTAGACGTTTCCTTAAATTATTAAGAAAATATGACAATTTATTGTACCATCCTCGACTGTTAATCCGTGTCTGAATTCAGTTTCTCCACCTTCCGCGGAAGCTTTGACGTTTCATTTAATTATGAGAAAAGCAGACGATTCGGTGTACTGTTCTCGACTCTTAATCCTTATCTGAATTCAGTTCTCCCCCTCCCGTGCGAAGCGCCGAAGTTTTGATGTTTCATTTAATTATTAGAGAAAGTAGACGATTCGTTGATATGCTCGACTCTTAATCCTTGTTTGAATGAAGTTTCCCCCGCTCGCGTGAAGCTTGGTAGTTTTAAAGTTTCATTAAATTATTAGAGAAAGAAGACGAATAGTTGGGCGTTTTTTACTCTTAATAAGCCCTAATTGTCTGAATTCAGTTTCCTCCTTTAACGCGAAGTGCGAAAGCTTTGACATTTCCTTAAATTAATAGAGAAAGCAGACGATTTGTTGTACCCGGCGTTTGCGACTCTTAATCCTTATCTGAATTCAGTTTTCCCCTCTCGCGCGAAGCGCGGAAGCTTAGACGTTCCCTTAAATTATTCGAGAAAACAGACGATTAGTTGTACCGTTTTCGACTCCGTAATAAGCCCTATTTGTCTGAATTCAGTTTCCCCCTCTCGCACAAAGCGCGAAAGCTTTGAAGTTTCCTTTAATTTTTTAGAGAAAGCAGATGATTTGTTGTACCGTTTTCTACTCTTTATAAGACCTATTTGTCTGAATTCAGTTTCCCACTCTCGCGCGAAGCGCAGAAGCTTTGACATTTCCTTAAAGACCGTCAATACTACTGGGCCAGAAGGGATTAGACCACACAGCGAGGTCACTGAGAGGTGGCTATTTCATTAACTCTCAACTAACATAAGAAAAAGAGGATCATGGGGGACCAACAGGCACCGATTGGGGAAGTTTTCTATAAAGAGGGAGCAAGTAGCTACAGGTAGGACAGTGGGGCTTTACATTATTAGATAAAGCAGACAATTTGTTGTACCGTTCACGACTCTTAACCCTAATTTGTCTGAAATCAGTTTCCCTCCTCCTGCGCTTTTGCGCGGAAGTTTTGATGTTTCCTTAAATTATGAGAAAAGCAGACGATTCGTTGTACTATTCTCGACTCTTAATCCTTTTCTAAATTCGGTTGTCCCCCCTCCCGCGCAAATCGCGGAAGCTTAGACGTTTCCTTAAATTATTAGATAAAGAGGACGATTCGTTCTACCGTTCTCGACTCGTCTAAATTAAGTTTTCCCTCTCGCGCAAAGCGCAGAATTTTTGGCGTTTCATCAAAATATAGAGAAAGGAAGACGATTCGTTGTACTATAGCTGACTCTTTATCCTTGTTTGAATTTAGTTTCCCCGAAAATTTTAAACCTCTGATTTCTTTAGCTGATATTATAGGAAAGTGAAACTTCTAGAAAATACAAGTTTTGTAGTCGTAGTCACTCTCGAAGTCATCGCAGCGGATAAAAAGTCACATTTCGTAGGGAAAAAAACTTGTAGCCGACCGACAATATAAACCTCACCGACTTCAAACTTCTGCATTGATATAGTACACGAGGATCGAGCAAGAATACCGACACAGCTGACCCGACACAGTAACATATTTACTCATGTCTTTCTTGCTCCCTCGACGAGACTCCACCCAACAACCCCCTCTTTCTTTTACTCCCACTCCTCCTCTCTCAGGCTCTTACCTCCCCTCTCTCTCCTCTCTTTCACCCGCGTTTCTTTTGTTTCCCCCTTTTTTGTTTGTTTCTGTCTTCTCCTTCTTTTCTCTTTTTTCCTCTCCTCCCTCTTTTTCTTTTTTCTCTTTCTTTCTTCTCTTTTTTTCCCTTTCTTTCCTCTCTTTTCCTTTTCTTGTTTTTCTTTTCTTTCCCTCACTTTTTTCCCCTCCCACTTTTCTCTTTTTTCACGAGGGCAGCGCAATTTTACCGACAATATCCTGACAGGTGGGGGGGGGGGTGTCGCGTCCCCCCCCCCCCTTTGGAGACGCCCCTGGATACTGAATAGCATTTCAGTTCAATGATTGCTGTCATATTGTTATCAAACCAAACAGAATAGTATGTAGGCCAACACTGTTTCATCAATAGTATTATACATTACCTGTCATTCTGACACCGACACCGACATCTCCAACGTCAAGCCTTGGTTGATCTGGTATGCTGTCATCATCACTTTCCTCAGACTCATCATCCACTGACAGGACAACTCCCTCCCATCTCCTGCCTTTCCAAGGCATGAAGACTTTTGTCCCTTTTATTGGATTACAGGGACATTGAATATATCTCCATACACTACCACGGTTTTTGGAGCCATCTTTTTTCCACTGAACAAGCAATTCTTTTGTTTGCTCCATGCTGTAGCCTAGCTGTGCAAATCCTGACAAAGTGAGGGAAACAAAAGGGTTACATTAATTTTGACTGAAAGTAGATCTAATCTAACTTACAAGCTACTTTACAATTGACCGTCCCCAATACTTGTAGCGGAAAGTAGAAACTTGAGTTCTAGACATGCAACTATCATTTGAGATTGCCCTTGATTAAATTTGAACAAAGCCACTAAAAGACAAAGGTATCAAAATTCAAACCATTCTCCTTTCATATCTGTAGACTACTATCATTTTTGCAAATTTAATTTGAACAATAAAAAGTATTAGACCTCTAGAGTCTAGAATCTGCTTGCACTGTTGCAATTGGTATAATAATACCTGAATACGGTATACTACTAACAATCTGGCATTTATTTAACTAATTTTGTAGATCTACGCTAAGCATGCTTTCAAATTTCAATCCGTACCACTGTCTTTACAAATTGTTGTCTTGTCTCGTCTTTCCATGAGCGAAAAAACAGTGAAATGATTATCACGGCACATAGATCTATAGATTGACGACTACTCCTACATACTGTACATGTATCTTGATCTAACTGAACAACCTCACACAAACAACATCACATCCCGCACCCAACTCTACCGGAACTGACGTTTTCCCTCGGGACAGCTAGTAACTGCGTGGAACGCACTTTCGAAAATCACCCTTGACTTGGGGCTTGATGCTAGTTGCTAGACCTAGATCTACTTCATATTTGGAGGCCTTCAACTTCAAGGGAGCGCTTCCATTGCAACCCACTCCAGCAAAGCATAGAGTCAATGCCACTCAACATCCACCCCAGCACAGAGAGTCAATGATAATGCGTAATGACTCTACTTGCCCGTGATACCATATAAATCAATACATGGGGCAACGTATTAATTATCATCATTATACATCGCATTTTTACCCGATAAAATCAAAATATTCTAACGATCCTAATCATAATGTAATCAGTGTGACCAAATATATCAAATCTTCCAGATAATTTGACATTTACAACACGTTATTTAAAAGAAGAAGCAGTTATTTTGCTTACCACAGGCCTAGCAGACGTCAGCTTCGCGATAACGCCCTTCTGCTTTGATCAAAATTTACGCTCGCGCCTAATATGCAAAGGGCGTAGAGGGCTTACGCCCTTCTGCTTAGCGCGATATCTGACAGTTTGTGCTAACGCCCTTTTACTATTGTCGATTACGTAATCATTTACTTCGTTTTATGCCATCTCGATCACATCATTTGAAAGAGCTTTGAAAACTCTATTAAATGACATGAAATATCAAAAATCGATTTTTGACCTGAAATTCGAGCTAACGCCCTTCTGCCAGCCGTGCGACGATATGAAGATCGCAAAGAACGATATTGAAATAACTAGTGCAATTCCGTCCTCTTTTGTATATCCTCACAAACTATTTTAGAATTACAGAGTAAAGTCTTAATACCACGTCAATACAATGACTAACCTTTACATATTAAATTGTCAAAATAATAACTGGAATTTTCCTTTCAGAAATTTGAATCTAACAACTCAATTAGGCCTATGCTTTATGTTGTAAAGGGATATGCCTATTCTGCCGAAGCTGTTGCGGGTGATTACAGTTTTAGATGTGTTTTCTAGATGACTTCAATTTTACCACTTTAATTGTTAAAGTTCGATTTTTATTTGAGTTCTGAACCACAAGGAAGTACTGTTTTGTCATATTAGCAAATCTGAGTGGGCCATCCAGCCATTTACTATATTCTTGATTGTATAAGTACTTTTCTATTCTGTTTCTTTTTCTTTTTAATATCGTGATTTGGAAAACAAATACCAAATACACCTATAGTGACCTTAAAGGTAATACAAAGTTTTGGTATTGGGTCATGAATTTAGTTCAAATGAACATATTGGAAGCATATGCGATCCTACAATATTCACTGAACGTTGTCGCAGTTGAAATCGAGTCTAAAGTTATGAAATTGTAAATAATAAACTCAAAATGTTGTATAGCACCCTCTCAAGGTCAAGATATTAATTAAGCTATACAACGATGTTTCTTGACTAAAATCGACCGATTAGCTATTCCCGTTTGGAAATTATATATCACATCTACTTATTTTGAGATTTTCAAGGTCGCAGCTACCATTGTACGGCAGTAGGCGCTAATTGAAATTTATCAAAATTTACCGGGAGCACCGGTAAATTTTTATATTCAATATTTCTCGAAAGCAGAAGTGTTTCAGGGGCTAATTTTTCTAGTGCTTCTAATACATCTACAGGGGCATCCAAATATATCAAAATTGTAAAGAATCACTATCCACCCAATTTTCAAAAATTCCCAAAACTTTGTATTACCTTTAAACACTTCTGTCGATTGCACTTTATATTATCGATCTCCCCCCCCCCTTGCAGGCTTCTTCTTATATCTTAGAAATTCAAAACGTAGACGGATCGTAAAAGCAGTGGGGTCAGCCTTCGGTTAGTCGATGCACGGTTACTCGGTTATTACTCGGTGGTCTGTTTACTCTGCACGGATACGTAACTAATCGGTAAGTCGGTGCACGGTTACTCGGTGGTCGGTTTGATCTTCAGGATTACTCGGTTATTACTCGGTGGTCGGTTCGCTCTGCACGGATACGTAACTAATAGTAGTTCTTCTGTCGGTTATTACTCGATGGTCGGTTCGCTCTGCACGGATATGTAACTAATGGCAGTTCTTCTATCGTCAATCTGGAGAGCACTGTGTGGAGAGAGGGATAAATAAAAGAAAAAAATGAGACGGAAGATTTAGCAATCATTTATCAATCAATGTATATATTAATGTGGTAGTAGAAGCAGTAGGAGGAGGATGAGTAGAAAAGCAGGATGAATAGTAGTAGTAGTAGTAGTAGTAGTAGCCTAGTTGCTGTTGTTGTTGTTGTTGTTGTAGAGATAGAACAAGTCAGTGGTAGTATTAGTAGCTGTTTTTATTATTAATACTATTATTGTTATTAGTATTTTTATTGTTACTATAATTACTGATATCATTATTGATATTATTAGTAATATTTGTATTATTATTATCAATATTACTATTATTGTTATCAAATCATTATCATTATTATTATTGTTATCATTATTATGACTAATATTAATATATTATTAGTTGTAAAAGTAGTAGTAGTACTTTTATTATTCTTATTCGAAACAATCGAACTGCCACATAACACATTTTTCGTAGGATATTCGTCCAACCTGACGCAAAAAAAAAACACCTCACGAATGTCATCTTTACAAGAACCTTCTCATGAAACTTACAATGTCATCACGATAGGGATGATGAAGGTCATTGCCATGACAACGAAGACGAATCCAGATGACACGTTTAAGGTCAAAGGGTAAAGGGCATTAAAGATCACTGGTGAGAGGAGCGTCCCGACGCTTTGAATGCATCCACTGCAGGCGAACAGGATCCCTAGGAAAGGACGTAAAATAATAATAATGTTTGAATTCGAATTTGAATTTAAATTTGAATTTATTAACAACAACACATCACAATAATGACAGTACATATGACAATCATACAATGCAAACAATAATACTGATACATGTATACATAACATAAGAGTAATGTCGATTGAAAAGTAATGGTTTTAAAACGATATTTTTACACATGCATATGCATACTATTAAACGTACAAAAGATGTATACGTAAATATGTATATTACTATATTTAGGTGAAGTTGTTAATGGGAACAAGAAGTTAGCACCAGTGCTAGCCGAGCCTAGTTCCATTCTTTGGCAAGATTTTTTCTGTTAATTTGTTTATACATATGAAATGTAAAATGTGTTTGTTTTGTATTTACATATAAATATAATGTCGATGATGATGATGATGATTATAATAACAATAATCATAATAACAATGATAACTATGGTAACAAGAATGACAGTAGATGATGATAATGATAATGATAGTAGTAACGATGATGATCATGATGATCATTATATTAATGATAATAATAATTGTTCGTGTAGTCCCATATACATCTTTCTGTGTACAGTGTTTGTAACTTTACCAAGACGTGGCCAATTTCTTATCATTTTGATGATTCCAGAACCTTGCAATACACACAAATTCTTATATGCTAGATGATCAACCTTTTCTGGTCGATTCCACACCGTTTCTTTCACAATGCAATCGCATGACCAGAACTCAACTTCATCTTTAATTCTTACCTTGTTCGTCCGGCCCGATCAGTTTAGACATCTTAGCTCTGCAAATTGGCATTGCGAGCATTCTAAGGGCCCCCACTGCTGTAACTGTATTGGATAACAAGAAAATTGAAACAGGAAATTACTTTAAAGTGACTCGGTAACATTGCCTCTGATTCTGAAACAAAATCCTGGATTTAGCTCATGCTGCAATCATAATTATAAACCTTTAGGTCAGTCAGGAATTCCATGACTTTTACAAGCCGATCTCCTGTCTGATTATCAAGATATTTATGATTGGAAATCGAAATTTCATTTTTCTAACGGGTTTTTATAAATACTACCGTCTATTGGGGATAAAGAGTATGGTGAAACCGGTCACTCAAAGATTTTTATTTCTTTGAGGCACTGCATGGTCATTTTCAAGCGCAATTTGTTAGGGCTTTTATTTTACACCATACCACAGACACTGGTAACACTTAGGGCCATGCATCTCAGATGGTGAGACCGTCTATGGGAGATGTGAGTTGGTCTAGCGGTACGTACACTTGGTCAGCTCTCTGTCTTCGCCTACAAACTGACTCAGGCGGACCCCGGTTCGAAACTGAGTCACGTCTGTCTGATGGTGGCATAAAGGTCGGTCCCCACTCCCCAGACATAATTAATCATATATGATTGATACTTTTTTTTTCATAGATAACTTTTTTTCTTCTTTTAAATCAAATACATATTGTACAAAACATTCTTAACAAATCTGAATACATTGTACATTGATATTTTGGATTAAACATAAATTGCAATAAGAAGGAAAACAAAAGTACATTTCCATAAACTGTTTAGAAAATATTTTCAAATAAATTATTAAGAATATTAAGGTTAACTTGAGATAATTGTGTGTCTATTCCCCCACCCCCTACCCCGTTAAACACACTCTTAACACCCTCATCCACATCCACACACTACTACCCCCATCCCCACCATACGACATACACACACCACCTGATGACACTTCGAAACATGTACCACATACTGTTCCTAGCCTCCTCAGAATACCCACAAATTGAATTAATTATTTTGATTTGATTTGATTTGATTTATTGGTTTCTGCATCTTTTTTCTTTTTTTATCATACATTTTCATGAACATAATATGGCTTGATAAAATATTTCAAGTGTTTATAATTTTATACAGATAATAAACGATATCAAACAAATATATTAAATTTAAACAAATATATTGAATGCATAATTAACAAACATTAGATGCAGGAGGGCTACAATTTAAACGGTACTTTTTGAAAATCACCCAAAGACAATTTTGCGGACTTTCACCTGCAATTATATATCCAATATTTCATTGCAAAAATAATTGTATTAGATATCTTTATTCGTGGGGAATAACCGGACAACCCTATATGAATATCCACCCAGTCGACAGACCTTAATTCTGCCATAACCTTTGAACATGTACACACTCCCAGAACAAGTGTAAGTATGTTTCAATCTTTTGCTTACAAAACATAAATACTCTCTCACACACACACAAAAAAAAACCACCAGCTTTGCTCATTTCGTCACAGTTGGTTTTACACTGTACAGTTGATAAAATATCATGTGACGTGTTTAAATAAATTTTGCAAGCAGCGAAAATGTTCACACACACACACCATTTTCGTAATGTAATCAAATTTAAAACACACATTCCTTGTTGTGAATCGTTTTATTCACTTGTTACTAGCAGACCAATGATTTCACATAATTATAGAAGCAGGAATGAGAGGAAAAGGTCAGTGAAAGTTTGAATAAAATCCGATTACAAATTAGAAAGTTAAATACTTCGAAGTTGCGATCAATCAAACACAAATTGGTATTTATGTGACGTGTATCAACAGCCCCCTCCTTTTTACTTTGTACTAAAATTCCAAAATTTCTATTCCAATCCTAAAGAAATGTTAAGTCATAGTTACATACACCCTAAATATGATGGTTGCAAATACGTTTTAATACAATTCCTGTATGAAAATAAATCCATTCCGTCGTCAATAACTTTATGGAACAATCTCCCGGAACATTAAAAAAAACATTGACTCCATTGTTAAGTTTAAGATTGCTTTAAAGACGCACTTATTTAACATTTAATTCATCCATTTTGTCTGTTACTCAGTACATCTTGTCTTTGTATTCTGTTTTATTTTTCTCTAGAGCGCATAGTGACATGTTTTAATACTATGTGTTATGCGCTATACGAGAACGGTTAATTATAAAAGAATGTTAGTGACATAAACATAGTACACAGGCTTATTAATAAATACAGATTGATCCTCTTTAGATTTTGATAGGGGGCGTTGCGCGGGGAGCACAAAGACCCGTTCTAAAATTGAAAACCGACCTAGTCGATATTGAGAGTACGCGAGTTAGACGTACACATAATTCACTAAGTGCAAGTATCTCATAATACATATAAGATTAAAAACACATAATTTTAAACGTTAACTTTGATAATTAGAGTTAACTTTTTTGTATTGGTATAAAAATTAGCTTTAAAATATCAATGACTATTATAAAATAATTATCACTGATATAAAGATAACGCATGTGCTAAAGTTTTATTTATTGAATGAAAACTTTTATTTTGGGGGTTAATTCGTGAAGAAATGTAAATGTAATCGATTCATCCGATTATAGTTAGGTGGTGCTTGGTTGACTTTCGATTTTGTGTAACAATAACGTTAGTATGGGTGGCGGTGGTTATTTTACCTGACTGCTAAGAAAGCATGAATGCATGTTAGTATTAGTAAGCAACCAGACGGCCGACGGCTTTAGGTTCTCTCCGAGGGACCTGGTAATGAGGATTAATGCCTTACCCAAGGGCACTAGCGCATCGACTTGGTTTCGAACCCGGGTCACCGGATTACGAGACCACTGCTCTACCGACTGAGCTATCGCCGGGAATGAATGTCACAATTATTGTTTTTACGATTCCTTTAATAATAATTTCCTATAGGTCATACTAAACACTAAGGCCCGAATTCACAAAGAAGGTTTGTCGACAAACCTAGGTTTTCGTGCGTCATATGAGGCGTTTCGACGCGTTTTTACAAACCTTGGTCTGTAAAAAAGCGTAAAAACGCGTCATATGATCGACGCACACAAACCTAGGTTTGTCGACAAGCCTGGGTTTGTGAATTAGGGCCTAATACACCAGTTTACAGTTGTGTGCGTCATTTTAATTGGCGAGTAAACAAAGCCAATGACCTAGAGGTCAGTGGTATTTATGCGTAAAATAAGATTGCGCCCATGCAAATTATGCGCGCACAACGCAGCGCGCAGGCAGTGATATCAGCATAATTTGCTTTACTCACCATTTGAAATGGCGCCCATGTCTGCGCATGCGCACTGATACAACCGTAAACTGGTGTTTTGTCCACTGCCTGGATTGTTTCCATGTCGCGTCTCAAATCAGCGGAGGACATACTGTGTATGATCGAATCTCTTTGCAGCTGAGAAAATAACACGCCCTCAACGCTGAAACGGAGACAAAATTATGCGATAGCATTATGGCTTACCATGCATACATGGCTTTTACATACCTTTTCAAAAATTCATAACTTTCTTATTAGTTATCCGATTTTGCTCAAACTTCTTTTGATTGGTTTGTCTGTTTTTAAATTGAAATAATAATATTAATTCATTTGGGTGAACTATTTATTTGATTTCTATTCAAATATATATTTGTCTTTTGGATATAGTCTTATTTGAGGTATAGCGTTTTTCTAAACCTAGCGCGCGCGTCGTGCGTGAGTGCGTTTTCGACCCTTGAAATGCGTGACGAGGATCACAAGGTCCGAGGTTCGAGTCTCAGCCGCTCCACTTTCTACTCTCTCGTGCTCTAAAGCCATAACGTCGTCTCTTTCTTTGTCTATCGCGTCATACCGGATTTAGATTTTAAAAGTGGAAAACAAAATCAGGCAGCTGGACTTTTTTCGTATTCATTGATTTCATTTCTCAAAACTCCGATTTCTTTTTCTTACATAACATAGTTTATACAAAATCGCAACATAATAATACCTAAGTTTTGTATCATTTGATAAACGAACATAAATACAACATAATTTATCGTTCATAATTTCACAATGTGTAGGACTAAAACATATCTCAACCATATAGGAAAATGTAACCCTACAAAACAGTTATTTCATCCCCAAAACTAATGCAAGCATTGCTTTTTTCAGAATAAGACTGAATACTAAACAAAAAAAGTGAGTTTCATATTTCTCAACATGTTATTATACAGAATTGAAATTATGAGTTGTCTACAAAACACAACCTACAACACAATATTATGCACATACGTAATCGATTATCAGAGGGTGACATTCAAATTACATAACGAAAAAAAGCAAATTATTCAAAAACTTATTACTATAACAATTTAAAAAAAAAATAATATTTGCAATACATATTTAATGATGAGTGGAATATTTTTAACTGATAAGTTTGAATCCATAAGGCAAATATGTATTCGATTAGAAATCGGATAACTAGTTAACCAAAATGTATTAATATTATTCATTATATATAGTTATAATACATTATTTGATCTAAATTAACGCAACATATTTGAAAGACTGTAGTAAACTACGATACTAATTTTGTCGGCGCACAACTTTGAAGGCCGTGCGCAAAATCCACAATCATAAGGAAATGACTAAAGAAATTTTAAAGACCGTCAATCCTACTGGGAATTTAAGAGGTATGAAACAACAACAACAACGTAAAACTGCGAGCGCACATGCATACATATACATACATGTATACATAATGTTTGCATAAAGTTATGTGCATTAGTAACAATTTGGAAAAAGAAAGAGGAGACACATTTTCCATTTTCTTCCCATGATAATCAAATACTTTTCCAGACTTAAAGAGTGATTTACCAATTGCTCCTTTCCTGGATCAATTAATGCTATATAAATTTGTCATATTATTATTATTATTATTTTTATTCCCAAAAGCATCTCCTCCCAACATAGATAAGGTATGGATATAAAGTCAAATACATCATTACAGCTGTTCCATATAAAACGAACTTTTTCAAATTAAAAAAACAAATTACGATATGTCTCCTCT